GTATCATTGCAGATGTGACAGCAGGCTGGGGATTTACTAATCTCACGCTGGGTTTAAGAGATTATACTGGGGCAACTGTAACATTTCCTAGATCTAGTTAGTTGAGGTCCAGTGTATTACAATACACTTTTGCATACTGTTTATGATCTATTAACTTGCTTTATTTGTGACAACTTCAATGGATACAGTCAAATTAATTAAATGAAATACACAGTACCTGATCCAAAGCCCATAAATTTTCATTCATTTTCTGAGGGGTGGATGGGGCTGTTTTTCATTCAAAGGGCTTAAGCCATAGAGCAGTGGTAACTTAGGTGTGTTGTACAGCATAGTACTATTTTTTACAAAGTACATGTAAAAATCCTACATATAGGGAACATTTAGTTATCTGAGATCTTTTTGGTGAAAGACAGATCAAAAGAATACTCATGTTTGCAGAATATGAAAAACTAAAAACAAAGAAAATGAAAGTGTAATGGAAAGTAACAAGACACAGGAGTCTGAAAATACATGTTGAAAACAAAAAGACATCTAAACAAATGAGGGTAAAAGAAAACATCCTACAGAAAGTCAGTCAACATTGAGAATGAAAAGGCAGAACTAAAAGTGAAAATTCACGTGCTATTTTTAAATTAAAATACTCTTATAAATCAGAATCACATGGAATGCTAGTCAGAATGAATGTTGTCATGGAAGCAAGTGTTTCATCCAGACAATACTCAACATATTCATCAAAGTATATAAGTAAAAATATTTGTAATAACCATTACACTATTTGGAGTAAATGCAGTGTTTTTGACTGTCAGCTCTGGAGGATGAACAAGAAAAGCACTTTCAGTGAGTTCTCACTAGATGAGCTACATGAATGGGGAGGAATTACTTTAACTGACAGGATCTCAGTTGTGATGATTTTTGGAGGTGAAAAATTGCCTAGTAAGAACTGGAATTAAATCAATTCATTATACAAAATGTGTCCAATAACCATTAAAGCCAAATGAAACAGAGTAATCAGTTCAGACAGAAAAAGAGCCGAAACAAGCATTAGCCTAAAGGAGCTAGAAGCATGTCCAGGAGAGTGGTGGGAAGGTTGTTTGAGGGAGCGGGTATATCACCTTTTTGCATTTCCAGAGATGGGCAGCAGCATTCCTGGGCACAATACCCAGGTATTATATAAATAATGGCAAGTGGGGAAAAAAGAAAGAAAACTTTTTTTCCTAAGGGAAATTACACTTACAATCTCCAACAGGGTCAAGGAGCCAAAGGCGACCTTTTCTTGACTTCAGTCCTGGGGTACCGACTCATCTTGGAAGCCATTATCTACATCAGGGCTCCCAGGCCACATGTGGCCTGCAATGGGTTATCATATGGCCCCTTGCTCCAGCTGCAGCAGTAGCCAGGGCCTTTAGGTTCCTTCTCCCTCCCCTGGCTTCCCCACCCTGACCCAGCCACAGGGGTCAGGACAATGTGATGTGGTATGCAGTGCTCCATAAACCAGCAGCTCAGAGTACCTATGTGGCATAGTGCCACAGGGGAACTCCAGAGCTACAGGTGAAGTGGGGTACTGTACCATGTGGGGGCTTGTGCACAATGCAGCAGGAGAGAGGTGCTCACCTACACCTGCAATGCAATAGAGTGGGAGAAAGATCTCCTGCCCACATGTAGCATTTAACCTGGGGGACCCATGGCCCCTGTGGTGGGCTACCCCTGCTGATGTGGTCCATGGGGCATATGGCCCAGCCACTATGAGTAGGACAGCCCTGTTTTACATGATTTGCTGAAAAGAGGCCCAGAGATATTAACCAGAAGGAACTATGTCCTCTCATAGTCTGTGTCAGGGGTAAATGACTAACAGGAGGTAGGGCTGGCAGGCACAAAACCAGCAGCCCATTGGCTCAAGCCAATGACCAGAAAGACCTAGCTAATTGCAAAGAATTCTGCAAGTAGGCAGTGAAGAAGAAATGATCAGATCAATAGAACAAATATTCAGACATTGATGGAGGGGGCAGAGAATATGCATGTGATGCGACCAAAGCAGAACGAGTCAACTTGTGCAACTAAGAACGTAGGGAGGAGCGAGAAAAAGCAACAGGAAGAGTGTTGGTGAGGGCAAACGGTTTATTTTTTGGCCCTTATTCAACTATTGCTTATGCCCAACACTGCATTTGGGAAACAGAGCAGAACAGCTTGGCTGTGCAATGTTTTCTGCAAAAGAAGGGCCCTTGCAAAGTCCTGTCAGTGGTAGCACAGGAAGGCATGCATGTGGGAGAATTAAGATTCAGGAGACAATGTGAAGGGGCCAAGTGAGGAGTAATATTGGGTATAATCATATTGCGGTCTGGTCATTTCCTTATGGCCCTGAGGTAATGGGGAAAAAAGTAAAAGTTCTATTTATGTTTCAGTCACTTCATTGTGGTGTGGCAGAGGAGGATGAGCTGCAGAGGAAGAGGAAACACCATTACTGAACCAGCATGGTTTGGACAGAGGCAAACTCATAGGACCTGGGATCTGCGATGTCTGCCCTGGAAACTGCCTGTCAGCATTTAAAAAGGAAGCTGTAGATTCCACTACCATCTCTTGAGACAGCGTCATGGGAAACAGTGCATGATGCATTCCTCACGGGGTCACACTGCCCCCTCACTGCTAAGAGTCCAAGCACAAGGCAATGCTAAATAAGGCTAGGGCCAATGCTAAATAAGGCTGAGTGCAATAAGAAATTATTTTATTTTAGGCCTGTTGAAATATACTAAACATACCTATAATGCTCAAGGAGACAAGCCAAGCTCAATTTTGGCCTTTACAAAACAACTTATTTGGTTGAAATTTCATTGCAACAAAAATGTTTTGACCAACTCTAGTGATAATTGCATGATTGCCATCTACCCAGGGGATGGCAGACAGGGAGAGGTGATCAGTACCATAGCAAGAAAGTTTGGCACCCAGGGCAAGCCCACCGCAGCAGCCCGTCCTCGCTCTGTACACAGATCCAGAGGGCACACGCCTCCCCATGCTTGCCTGGGCGTGCAGCAGCAGCAGGAGCTGCCCCCCATCTCTGTGCTCCCCCAAAATGAGCCTCTCACAGCTCTGTCCCACACCCCACCCCAGCTGGGCAGCGCCTGTTGATGCCCCTTTGCTTCTGCACCTGGGGCAGTCACCCCACTCACCCTTCCCTTGCTACAGTACTGGAGATGGAACACAGATTACTTCCAGTTACAAAGCAGAGTGTGTTGAAATAGGGTAGAAATCCCCCATCTCCAAGCTTATGGGGATATACCACTTGACATACATCTTATTTTATAATTAGAGACAAGCCCAACACTCATTCTTCACCTGGTAGATTCACGTGCAGCCAGCGAAAGAGCTTTGCTCTTACTCTACTTCTCTTGTCAATTGGTTGCATATGCCAGCAACCTCTCATCTTGTATGAAGTCCCACCCACTGAGTCTAGTCTAAGGTTTGAAGAGGCAATGATTTTGAGATGACAGATAAACTTTCTGACAATTTCTTGCTGCTGCATTAAATGGAAAAGACCGATGTGCATCACAGCAATGCTAGAAGTGTCAAGAGATGCTACTTAACAAGGCTCACATGCCCAGGAGCCGTAACACAGATTACTGCTCCAGTGTTTCCAGAATTGTTGATTTTTCCACATGATCTTAATGGGCCTTGAGATAAACAAAATCCATGTGCCCAACAGATTTTTCAGTCCATCAAGTTAGAAGCCTATTTCTATTGCCGCCGTGGAACCACCAATTATTCTATTATGTTTTTCTTAGGTAGGAGAAGGCTGAATAGCATCTGCTGGAGGTGGTAGTGTGTTCCCTGCCACTTGTGGCCCATAATGAGGAGAGTGCTCTCTTGGCACCAGTCCATTACAGAGAGCTTCCTGAGTCTCCCGGCCCTGAGAGTGGCCTATTTGTACATTACAAAACAAATTTCCTGTATCACAGATAAGTACGTTCCCGGAGTCAGTGATGCAGTCTTTTTATGGCATTCCATGTTTACAAGAAAAGGCTCAGTTGAGTGCTCTTTGCAGAATACAGATATCTATCCTATGCTGACCTTCAATAAGCATGAGGCACTGCCTGTACTCCTTTAAACCTTTCCTATTTCTGATACCTTGTTCATTTTTGAGGTTGATGTGGGTTCTTTCTCCTCAATGGCTGCCACTGAAGACATTTTGGAGGAGGACAAGTGCAGGTAGGTAGGGCAGTACTGCATTTGGTTACAATTGGGCAGAGCAGTGGGCAGGCACCAGAGCTTCACGTGGCAACTGGATTCTGACAATTCTGGCAGCTGTGTGCCTGGCTTGGAGTGGAGCAACCCAGCACACTGCTTTCTCTAGGATGGGTTTGAAGTTTCAAAACCCCAGCAACACCACCCCTCACCTTTTAAAAGCCCCAGGCTGACTGTTGCAGACTGCAAAGTCCTTTCCTTTGACAATGTCACTATCATTCTTCCAGCTCCTTGGTCATCACTGCCTTGTCTCCGAGACTAATTTTCATCTCTCCTCTAACACCGAAGAAATCAAAACCTGCCACTTACAAGGAAAAAATCCTTAACCTAAAGCAGGAGAAGCAAAAAACCAAAAGAAGCTGGACTACATGGCATCTTCTTCCTAAGCTCCCCACTATGCAGTGGTCTCCAATAAAAGATATCACCTGAAGACAGTGGTTTTCAACCTTTTTTTTTTCCCCCATTAGCAGACCCCTAAAAAATTTTGAATGGAGGAAACTTTGGAAGTTTCAAATGGAGGTGCTGACCCCTTTGAATTGTAAGTGTGGGTATTTGCATACTTTTGACTGATCACAGTCCAGAGGAGAGCCAACCGGCAGCGTCGGAGGCGCTTTTTGCAGAGGGTGCACGTGCACCCCCTACGCGTTGCCGATGTAGCCTGTCGATGGACCACAGGTTGAAAGCCACCACCGAGACAATCCTTGCCGTTCTCCTCAGCCACTGTAACCTTGCTTTAAACAAACAGCGCTAGGAAACCCTTCAAAATCATGGGCTGCGTAAACCCATCCTGTGTCGCGAGCCCAGGCCTGAAACCCTGGCGGCGGCAAGGAGCGGCCTGGAGATGCGCCTGGCCGACCTGCGGCCAACACCACCCTCTCCAACACCGGAGCAAGCCCCTCGCGGGGGCGGCGAGGAGAACCGCGCCACCTGGAGCCCCACAACCAACACGGGCGGCAGAAGTGAGAGCTGATTACGTTAGATTGACCTCCTTGATTTGAGTACACCAACTAGATCACTCACTTGGGACACGCACAATTTTCCTGAAAAACACATTTGTAAAAAAAAAAGTATGTAAAAAAAAAAACCAAAGCAGCAAATCCTGCCCCCGCAGGCAGGGCAAGGCGGCAGAAGCACGGAGCCACTCCCTCCCTCCGACTCCCCGCAGCCTCCGCCCCGGTCAGCTGATCGCTGTCATGTGA